CTACGACTACTTCTACTATTGCTACTACTACCACTTGTACTACTACGACTACGGCTACGACTACTTCTACTACTGCTACTACTACTACTACTACTCCTACTATTACTACTGCTACTGCTACTACTACTTCTGCTACTGCTACTGCTACTACTACTACTACTACTACTACTTCTACTAATACGACTACGGCTACGACTACTCCTGTTACCATTACCACTACTACTACTACTACTACCACCACCACCACCACCACCACCAATGGCAATTTTAGATATCTCCCAGTGAGTTTTCAAGTTTCTTAGGTGACGAGGATGTTCCCCAGTGAGTTTGTGAAATTTATTGGGTGACGAGATACTGCCACCACGGTTCGTGGTGGGGAGTATCTCGTCCCCCACGATGCCGCAGAGGAAATAGCGATCAGTTGTTTTCCGGAACAACCATGGTTCCTGATTCGCAACAGGCTGACAAATCGGCAGCAAATTTGGACGGCCGGTGGGTAAGACAAATGTGCCAGACCACAAATAAAATACCAGTGGTACCCGCACGAAGCGAGGCGGAAGTTGCCTTAAGGATATATAAGACCTTTCTCATCTATAGAACTTGCATGCGCCGTGCGCCAGCCAGGCCCGTGCGTGCGTGCACTCTGCGAAAGTTGTGTCCTGTTTCGCACGTCACATTTGCAGCTCCACTTCGCACTTCGCACTTCTCACTGCATTCTTCACACTCCACACTTCACACTTCACACTGCACTCTTCGCACTCCACACTTCACTTCACACTGCGCTCTTAAGACTGCACACTTCGCACTTCACACTTCAAACTTCACAGTCCGCACTTCACACTTCACTCTTCACACTGCACTCTTCACGCCCCACATTTCTCACTGCACTCTTCACACTTCACACTCCACACTTCATCTCATCTGAGCTCTTCTCACCTTATCCCAGCTCATGTCTTCTCATCTCATCTCTTCTCATATGTCACGCAAGCTTCCATGAATCGCTTCCCAGTACTACTCGTACTACTAAGGACCTTGCATGCGCCGTGCTCCAGCCAGGCCCGTGCGTGCGTGCTTCGTGCGAAGCTGTTGCAGTGTTGTGGCCAAGAACATACGAACATGACCTGCGCGCGACACCGGTGCAATGCAAACAATTTCCTCAGACTTCACATTGCCTTCTTCACACCCCACACTCCACACTTCACACTTGCACTTCATCTCAACTCATCTCATCGGAGCTCTTCTCATCTCATTCCATGTCTTCCCATATGTCAGCTAAGATCTTCTTGGCTATTTTCATAACAAGCACTTTCCAGTAATGATGTCTACTACAAAAGCTTGCAAAAACCAGTTCCCAGTACTAATCTGTACTACAAAGCTTGCACAAAACACGTTCCAGTACTACTTTGTACTACAAAGCTTGCACAAAACACTTCCCAGTACTACTTTGTACTGCAAAGCTTGCATAAAACACTTCCCTGTACTACTTTGAACTACAAAGCTTGCACAAAGCAATTCCCAATACTACTTTGTACTACAAAGCTTACACAAACTACTTCCCAGTAACCGATGTCTACTACAAAAGCTTGCAAAAACCACTTCCCAGTACTACTTCGTACTGCAAAGCTTGCACAAAACACGGTCCAGTACGACTTTGTACTGCAAAGCTTGCAAAAACTACTTCCCAGTACTACTTTGTACTACAAAGCTTGCACAAACCACTTCCCAGTACTACTTCCTACTACAAAGCTTGCACAAAGCACCTCCCAGTACTACTTCGTACTACAAAGCTTGCACAAAGCACTCCCCAGTACTACTTTGTACTACAAGGCTTGCACAAAACACTTCCCAGTACTACTTTGTACTACAAAGCTTGCACAAACTACTTCCCAGTAACCGATGTCTACTACAAAAGCTTGCAAAAACCACTTCCCAGTACTACTTCGTACTACAAAGCTTGCACAAAGCACTCCCCAGTACTACTTTGTACTACAAAGCTTGCACAAACCACTTCCCAGTACTACTTTGTAATACAAAGCTTGCGCAAAGCACTTCCCAGTACTACTTTGTACTACAAAGCTTGCACAAACCACTTCCCAGTACTACTTCGTACTGCAAAGCTTGCACAAACTACTTCCCAGTAACCGATGTCTACTACAAAAGCTTGCAAAAACCACTTCCCAATACTACTTCGTACTACAAAGCTTGCACAAAGCACTCCCCAGTACTACTTCGTACTGCAAAGCTTGCACAAAGCACTTCCCAGTACTACTTCGTACTACAAAGCTTGCAGAAAACACGTTTCAGTACTACTTTGTACTACAAAGCTTGCAGAAAACACTTCCCAGTACTACTTTGTACTGCAGTGCTCGCACAAACCACTTCCCAGTACTACTTCGTACTACAAAGCTTGCACAAAGCACTCCCCAGTACTACTTTGTACTACAAGGCTTGCACAAAGCACTTCCCAGTACTACTTTGTACTGCAAAGCTTGCGCAAACCACTTCCCAGTACTACTTTGTACTACAAAGCTTGCACAAAGCACTCGCCAGTACTACTTCGTACTACAAAGCTTGCAGAAAACACGTTCCAGTACTACTTTGTACTACAAAGCTTGCAGAAAACACTTCCCAGTACTACTTTGTACTACAAAGCTTGCACTTTAAGTGGCATACGCCACTCGGAACTCGAAGGCTACACAGTCAGCACGCCACTCGAAGTGGCATACGCCACTCGAAGTGGCATACGCCACTCGAAGTGGCATACGCCACTCGAAGTGGCATACGCCACTTGAAGTGGCATACGCCACTCGAAGTGGCATACGCCACTCGAAGTGGCATACGCCACTCGAAGTGGCATACGCCACTCGAAGTGGCATACGCCACTCGAAGTGGCATACGCCACTTGAAGTGGCATACGCCACTCGAAGTGGCACGCCACTTGAAGTGGCATGAAGTGGCATGAAGTGGCATGAAGTGGCATGAAGTGGCAAAATCAAAATCCACCACATTTGCTCGTTCTCTGCAAGTTGGGGAGCCGGATTGATCATATATATATAATGTTTTCAACATGACTTACACGTACCCTCTCGTGTCGTCAGATACATGGCTAGCTGTATCCCCGAACTACATGGGCATCTATACATATGTATATATATATTTACATATGTGTGTATATCTATATATACATACATACATAGAACTAATGCTGGGGGACTTTCCAGCAAACCATGTTTGATTACCAGAGGGTGAGAAGAAAGATGTGGGTTGATATGAACATGTAGGAGAAGACCCAATTCCATCCACTGGTTGAGGACCTCAATGTCCACACTATTAGATGGCGATTTGGGGGTACACTCCGGCAAGGGCATTTTGATAAGGAAAATGAGGTTCTTAATCAGCAGATCTAGAGGCATGATTTAAGCAGCAAGGATGAGGGTGCGTAAACCCGCAAAAATCGGAATGTGACTTTCAAACTAGAGGTAAACCAGCTTTCTTGAGCTGCAATCAACCAACAAAAAATTGGATTGGGGGAAAAACAAATCAAGAACGGGGATGCGACCACAAACAGTGGAATTTACCAACAGATATCCAGGTTCAAGATATATGTTTATGGGGAGAACGAAAGAACGATGCTGAAACCGTGTTCAACCCAGCAAAAACTGGGATATCATTTCAACAATGGGGAATGACACATCAAAAATTGGGTTTTGACAACAAACATGGGGAACTTGTCGCTTAAGCATGTTTCAGTAGTAAACAATCAGGTTTAACCATGTTTCACCAATCAACATTTGGGTAAAGTAGCGGGCGAATGATAAGTCAACCAGCCACAAATGTTGGAATTCACACATGGTTTTGTGGCCTTAAGCACCAAAAAATCAGGATATAGTTACTGTAATCATCTCTAGTTTAAGTATACAAACCGACTGGTGAAGGATAGTTCTATGGGGCATTGATTCCCTCAGTTCCTCAGTTGATCGGTGCCTCGTTCCATCGTTTGTTTGCAGATTCCCTGGATTTTGTATGTTCAATCCGCCAATCCTTTCTTTTTGTTGTTCATCACCATTAAATCACCATTAATCACTATTAATCACCATTAATTACTATGAAATCACCATTAAATCACCATTAATCACTATTAATCACCATTAGTCACTATTAAATCACCATTAAATCACCATTAATCACTATTAATCACCATTAATCACTATTAAATCACCATTAAATCATCATTAATCACTATTAATCACCATTAATCACTATTAAATCACCATTAAATCACCATTAATCACTATTAATCACCATTAATCACTATTAAATCACCATTAAATCATCATTAAATCGCTATTAATCACCATTAATCACTATTAAATCACCATTAAATCACCATTAAATCACAATTAAATCACTATTAAATCACCATTAAATCACCATTAATCACTATTAATCACCATTAATCACTATTAAATCACCATTAAATCACCATTAATCACTATTAATCACCATTAATCACTATTAAATCACCATTAAATCACCATTAATCACTATTACTCACCATTAATCACTATTAAATCACCATTAAAACACCATTAAATCACTATTAATCACCATTAATCACTATTAAATCACCATTAATCACTATTAAATCACCATTAAATCACCATTAAATCACCATTAATCACTATTAAATCACCATTAAATCACCATTAAATCACCATTAAATCATCATTAATCACTATTAAATCACCATTAAATCACCATTAATCACTATTAATCACCATTAATCACTATTAAATCACCATTAAAACTCCATTAATCACTATTACTCACCATTAATCACTATTAAATCACCATTAAAACACCATTAAATCACTATTAATCACCATTAATCACCATTAAATCACCATTAAATCACCATTAAATCACCATTAGTCACTATGGTTGTCTGAACCTCTGATTCAGGTTTTTCATCGGATCAATCCCCAAATTTCTGAACCCAGGAGGGCGGAAGCGGCGGAGCCCAGCGTTGTGGGTCAGGGAGACTTGCCCCACTCCTTCGGGGTCAAGGAGAGCGGCCAATCCAATGGGATCCCACATTGGTCACCATAAAATGTTTACCCTTTGGTTATGACTAACGGTTTGCCATGGAAAATCAGCATGTTTAAGAGGTAAACCATCTATTTCTATGGGCCAGCTATACCATGGCTATGTTAAATAACAAGAGGGTAAAACGATTGGTTTACACCATAAAAATTGCGGACAGACATCAGGATTTTCTGAAATAGCTATTGTTCATCTAAGTCAGTGGGTTTCCATGGAAAACTGTCACAATTTTCCGGAAGGTACTGTAATTGATACAAACCTTCAAAAGATAGCTTTTATTACCAACTAAGAAACTCATTTCCTGATAGTCAGAGGTAGGTTGTATCTGGTTGTATCGGTATGTAACTAGCCCCAGCAGTATTTGCCATCCCACGGAAAAGATCTGGGACCATGTTGCCTCATCTATCGATTCATCGATTAAAAAGATATTTTCCAAGATTCAAAGACATCTCCATCGATGGCTTCCCCTGGGTTTGGCCTGGCTGACCAGGCCGAAACCTGGATAGATGAGACCGGAGAGAAGAAACGCTCCAATGCAGGACGCTGGTCGCTGCTCTTTTGGAGCATAGTTCATCATAGTTCATTGTAGGTACATGTACAAGATATAGTAGTTGTTGCAAATGTATAGTGTATATATATATATATGTATCATATATATATATATAATATATATAATATATATATAATATATAATATATATATAATATATATATAATATATATATAATATATATAATATATATATAATATAATATATATATATATATGTACAGATGTAGATATAGATTTACAAGATGTGTTCAGTGCACACCAATGCTAGCATTTACAAGGTAGTGTTTTGTGAACACGGGTGCCATCAGCGCTTCAGAAGCCTTTGGTCGCTTGCTTCCAACTGCACTTGAGCAGTGTTCAAAACCTCCGTTGGTTGATGATTATGCAGGACTATATCAGAATCCTTTAGGGGAATATCATCAATATATTGACACCAACACTATATATTGGGGAGTATCACAATCCTTTGTGGGAATTCCGTTCTCAACCAAGGAGGTTTTTTTTTTTAAAGGGACGTAGCCAGTCCCCATCCCCACCAGCCAAGTCAAAAAGTTCCAGCACAGCTACTTTAATGTACATCCCGTTTAGTAGCTGCTTAGTAGCACTGGTAGCCTTGCTTAAAATTTCTACCTTGTAAACTCCAAGATACTCTTAGATGGAGAAGAGGGATACCCCCCGTTGAACGTATCGGGAAATCTTCTGCAGCAGGATTTTCCGATCAGAAGTGACAGGCTGGTTCACCACTTGTGCATCCCAGGCACCGAAAGTGGGTAAGAACATTTAACATGCAAACCATGTTTGTAGTAAGATCATTTATCATCATGTTATATATGGCTGTTATAATTGTGTTACTGTATCCATTTAATATTAATATCCATTTATTGTGTATGTATTTATAACCATTTAATATGCCTGTCATGTTATATATGGTTGTTATATGTTGTTATTATTTTTGGTTCCGCCCCGCAGGTCACCTCCAGCCACAGCTGAGTTGTTGCAGGAGTCCTTTCGCGCGTGCGTATCGAGTGGGAGGAAGATAGCGCAGTGGACATTGAGCGTGCCTGTCGAGCCTTCACAGTGCAAGGCTTCAAGGGACTGCGCCTTGACGGTGCCGAAGGTGAGAGAACTGACCGTGCCGAAGAACCGGGAGTTTACAAAGATTGAGATTTACTTGGGGATATTGGCGATATCAATGGAAAAACACATACAAAAAGAGGTGGAACATCTATTTATTGTTTACTGGGTAGCCTCCGATAATTCCACATGGATAAATGGGAAATTCTAATGTTCAAAAACGGGATGACTTAAATGGGAAATCCCAACTTTTCATGGGCAGTCAGGAAGATGGGATCAATGCCAAACTACAGGAGGATCGAAGAAAACCATGGTAAAGCCACATAAACCTCGAATTTATGTGATGCAACTGTGAAATGGAAGATGGTTGTGAGTAAAATGTGCTAGCCCCAGAAATCAGACATCCAAACCACGAATGAAATGGTTTCATGAAGCAAAGGTCCCCAGACATTTCTCCCATCTTTGGGTTGCTAACCAATACTGTTTGGTTCAACCCTGTTGTAAATGGCAATTTAGAAGCAAGTGCCAGGGGATTTTCTGTAACAAACATTGCCTGAAAAGAATTTGGGTTCTCCCGCAGTGAGAGGTGCATTTCTCGAAAGGTAGCGGTGAGCTACCTGAGTTCCCCCTTGCGTAGCAAGTATTAGGGGGCGAGCGGTGCAAGTGCAAGAGTTTGGGCCGGTTATGTCTCGGTCCGCCTTTCAAGGGGGGGGGGGCCCCCCCCACCCTTCGATTCCCCCCAGGTCCGCCTCTAAAGCCGGGTTTGCAACATAGGCGGACTACAAGGAAACGCCAACAGCCGCACATGCACTTTCATCCACCACGTTTACAGACATCCCCACCCCAACCGAAGTCAAGACCCGCACTGAAACTCGACAATGTCAGATTGCTCAAGAACTTTGTTTCGTTCACCCTAACAACCGCGATGAACAATGTCGTAGCAAGAACGTTGCGACGGACTGCGTTGCAGTAGTCTCAAAAATCGTACATGATATACCAGTAGTGCCGCACAAGGCGGTGGCGGAAGTTTCAAAAATAGGAAACCTATAGGAGAGATTGGTTGTTGTGAATCAGAGATGGCAGAGCGAAGCCACTGCTGGACTGAAAGGCGATTGATCTCTCTCACTCTTGTCTACCTGTCTATCTATCTATCATATCTATCTATCTATCTATCTATATCTATCTATCTATCTATCCATCTATCTATCCATCTATCCATCCATCTATCCATCTATCCATCTATCCATCTATCCATCTATCCATCTATCCATCTATCCATCTAACCATCTATCCATCTATCCATCTATCCATCTATCCATCTATCCATCTATCCATCTATCCATCTATCCATCTATCCATCTATTTCTCCCTCTATCTATCTATCTATCTATCGATCTATCGATCTATCGATCTATCGATCTATCCCTCTATCCCTCTATCCCTCTATCCCTCTATCTATCTATCTATCTATCTATCTATCTATCATATCTATCCTATCTATCCTATCGATCCTATCTATCCTATCTATCCTATCTATCCTATCTATCCTATCTATCATATCTATCTATCTATTTATCTATCTATCTATCTATCAATCCATCTATCTATCTATCTATCTATCTATCATATCTATCATATCTATCATATCTATCATATCTATCATATCTATCATATCTATCATATCTATCATATCTATCATATCTATCATATCTATCAATCGATCTATCGATCTATCGATCTATCGATCTATCGATCTATCGATCTATCTATCTATCAATCAACCAATCAATCCTATCTATCTCTCTATCTATCTATCTATCTATCTATCTATCTTATCTATCTATCTGTCTACCTGTCTATCTTTTGTGCAGTGTCATTCAGTGTAATGTAGTTAGTGTAATGTAGTGTAATGTAGTGGAGTGTAGTTGTAGTTGTAGGTGGTAGTGGAGTGTAGTGTAGAGTAGTGTCGTGAAGTGTAGCGGCAGGTAGTGTAGTGTAGTGTAATGTAGTGTAGTGTAGTGGAGTCTAGTGTAGTGTAATGTAGTGTAGTGTAAGGTAGTGTAGTGGAGTGTAGTTGTGTAGTTTTAGTTGTAGTGTTGTGGAGTGTAGTGTAGTGTAAGGTAGTGTAGTGTAGTTTAATGTTGTGTAGTGGAGTGTAGTGGAGTGTAGTTGGGTAGGTGTAGTTGTATTTGTAGTGTAGTGGAGTGTAGTGTAGTGTTGTTAATGTAGTGAAGTGTAGTTAGCCACGAGGTAGTGCAGTTGTGAATGTAGTGTAGCGGCTCCCTTCAGCCCCGGTGTAGTGGACTGTAGTGGACTGTAGTGGTTTTGTAGTTGTAGTTTGTAACCTGTAGTGTTGTGAAGGTAGTGTAATGTAATGATGTGTAAAAGTAGTGTCGTAGTGCAGCAAAAGTGTAGTGTTATGTTAGGTGTAGATCGAGTTAAGCGAAGCAACAGCTGAACCGCCAAAAGTGGTCCGAACATGGTGTGGTTTGTACATTTCGACTTCGAAATGTGCTTCGCGCCACAACGGCGTGCACTTTTTCGAAACTCGACATCTCAGCCTCCAAAAGTGGTCCGAACATGGTGTGGTTTGTACATTTCGACTTCGAAATGTGCTTCGCGCCACAACGGCGTGCACTTTTTCGAAACTCGACCTCTGAGCCTCCAAAAGTGGTCCGAACCCCTAGTGTTTTTAACATTTTGACTTCGAAATGTGCTTCGTGCCACAACGGCGTGCACTTTTTCGAAACTCGACCTCTGAGCCTCCAAAAGTGGTCCGAACCCCTAGTGTTTTTAACATTTTGACTTGGAAATGTGCTTCGCGCCACAACGGCGTGCACTTTTTCGACATTTTAAGTGCCAAAAGTGGTCCGCACTTGGTGTGTTTTCTACATTTTGACTTGGACATGTGCTTTGCGCCATAACGGTATGTACTTTTTCGACATCGCAACTTCCAAAAGTGGTCAGACCCTGGTGTGTTTTGTACATTTTGACTTGGGGACGTACTTCGCGCCACAACGACGTGCACTTTTTCGACATCTGAAGCGCCAAAAGTGGTCCGATCCTCTGGTATTTTGTGCATTTTGACTTGGAAATGTGCTTCGCGCCAGAACGGCGTGCAATTTTTCATGTCTCATCTCCCCATATGTTTCCGCACCCGCCGCTTTAGCGAGCCTACTTTTCGACCCTCCGGAACCACAAATCATTGGAAAAAACACAGTGAATCGCGACTTTCCTACCTTTTCGCGCATCTGCATCTTCTTTCTTCTGACTCTTTCTCTTCTGAACTTTCTCTTCTCTCTGCCTCTGCCCTGCTCTGCTTTTCATCTGTCCATATTGTCGGAAGTTTAGCTTCTCAACTTCCTTCGACAATATAGTTAAAGATATGTATCTATATATGGTGATCGATCTAAAGGTCCTTGTAAGGAGTTTTAATTGCGAAAGCCTATGGTTTCCCTGCAGGCTTTTCCTGAAACGTATTGATAGAACTCTTGTTCATTTCTGGTGTTGAGCAGTGAGTCCAGGTGGATGGTGCTACGATTGGATCTGCCAGAAGGCTACAGCAAAAGCGGGGTTCACGTCACGTCAGCTGCACTTGGACGGGCTGGGCGGCTGGGTGCTGCTGGATTTTTGCCACAGAACTTGGATGGGGCCCTGAGAATCCTTAAAAGATTTACCAACATATCGCCAACATCAATGCTACATCAATGCTGCATCATCAATCATCATCTGGTTGGTGGTTTCAAACATTTTTTATTTTCCATTTCATATATGGGATGTCATCCTTCCCATTGACTTTCATATTTTTCAAGATGGTTAAAACCACCAACCAGTCATGGTTTTTCTTCGCCATTTCACCATCCCAGGCGATGGTGGCCTCGGCCGCGCCGTTTGGACTCTTTTGCATCCCCGACAAAGCGGGGCCGTGGCCCGGTGCAATGCCGGTCCATGCCGTTACACAGTGAGATGCCACGGGACTAGGTACATAGTGAAACACATAGATCACATAGCTATGGAAAAACATGGAACATCATCCATAAATACTCTACAAATGGAGGTGTTTTTGTCGCTGAACATCACGGAAAACCTCAGAGTTTCTATGGAGGTTTCTTTTTTTAACTGACAAAAAAGGACCATCATGGGAAGATCCTCGATCAATGGAGGTTCAAAAAGGTGGGAAAAACATGGAAAAAATCTATGTGAAATCACCAGATGGTAATTACATGAAGAAATGCCCATTCCATCCCGGACCTATGGACACGCGTTTGCAATATATACTACACATACATACACATACTATATAATACTATCACTATCATATACTCTACATCCCAGAGATGGAATTCAATTACTTTTCACATAAATAAGATCATGCGCCCCCATCTTTTGACCTGAAGAAATGCTGAGATATACTTTCGGTCCCTCAAATGTTGAAAACACCGCCCATATTCTCGAAGCTCATAAACACACAGATATAGATATGCACACCCATATATTTATATATGAACGCACATGCACACACACACACACACACCCTTTTTCTACATATAAAAGCATAGTTTACACGGTTGTATTGTACATCATGTTCAAAATAAAGGCACTGAAATGAAATGCCCACATCGCTATGTACATTTGTCCGAAGAAGATCATAGCTTGGCAATTAAATATATGACACGAAATAGATGAGATGAGATTATGTATATAGACGGATCTAGATCCATTGCGTATTTTTTTGGTGTGAGTGTGTATATATTTTTATACACAATATGTATTGAATTTGTAGATCTTGAGCCCACACTTAAATTTCTATATCAGTCATGACTCATGACTAATTTCTGCATGAACGCCCCCCCACCTGCATATGGCATAATTGTATGCTGGAAGAAATATAACCCTGCTGGAATGTATTAAACTTATATAATATATCGGGATTCCCTATTATTGGTGGTAATTATTTGATTTTGGGAGATGGGATTACATACTATCCGAGTTTCCCGTAGGCCATGATGTTATGACATACAAGATACATGATCTATAGAGCCTCTCTGGAGTTTTCCTGCAGTGGGGAACTCCAAAATCATCCAGAATTG